GGTGACTTACTGTATATTGTCTCTGTTCCTTTCTGGTCTGTTACTTTTAGTCCTTCTCTTTGCTTAGAGGACCACTTTCAATATTTTCTGTAGGGTTGGTTTAGTGTTTGCAAATTCTTTTAGTTTTTGTTTGTCCTTGAAGCTTTTTATCTCTTTTTCTATTTTCAATGACAACCTGGCTGGTATTCTAGTATTCTTAGCTGCATTTTTTTTTTTTTTCTCATTTAGTGCTCTGAGTATATATCATGCCAGTCCTTTCTGGCCTGCTAGGTCTCTGTGGGTAGGTCTGCTTCCAATCTAATATTTCTACCATTGTATGTTACAAACCTCTTGTCCCGAGCTGCTTTCAGGATTTTCTCTTTGCCACTGAGACCTGTAAGTTTTACTATTAGATGATGGGTTGTGGGCCTTATTTTTATTGATTTTGAGGGGGATTCTCTGTGTCGCCTGGATTTTGATTCATGCTTCCTCCAAATTAGAGAAATTCTCTGTAATAATTTGCTCCAATATACATTCTGCCCCCTCTCTTTCTTCTTCTTCTGGGATCCCAATTATTCTAATACAGTTTTGTCTTATGGTATCACTTATCTCTTGAATTCTGCCCTCATGGTCCAGTAGTTATCTCTCTTTTTTCTCAGCTTCTTTATTCTCCATCATTTGGTCTTCTGTATCACTAATTCTCTCTTCTTCCTGATTTATCCTAACAGTAAGAACCTCTATTTTTGATTGCACCTTATTAATACTTTTTTTGATTTCAACTTGGTTAGATTTTAGTTCTTTTATTTCTCCAGAAAGGTATTCTCTAGTATTTTCCATGCTTTTATTGAGCCCAGCTAACACCTTGATAGTCATCATTCTGAACTCTAGTTCTGACATATTACTAATGTCTGTACTGATTAGGTCCCTAGTCATCAGTACTAGTACCAATACTGCCTCTTGTTCTTTTCTTTGAGGTGTTTTTCTGCCTTGTCATTTTATCCAGATAAGAATAGATGAATGAGAGAATGAAATACTAAAAGGGTAGCAATGACCCCAGAAAAATATACACTAACCAAATCAGAAGAGACACGAAACTGGGGGGCGGGTGGGGGGGGAGAAGAAAAAAGAAAAAAAAAATATATATATATATTAGACTGGTGAATAGAAGAGAGCCACAGACTTGATTTTGGGTGTATTTTGGTCTGTTAGAAGAAACTACTTCCCAAAATTTTAAAGAAAGAAAAACTTATACATATATATATATATATATATACAAAAAAAATTAGTGTAAACATGATGAAGGGATGGGATATGACTGTAAAGATAAAAATTTAAAAATATTCTAAAAAAGGAATTGATTAATAAGAAGCTGGTTAAAAAAAGAGGAAAGAATGTGATCAGACTGGAGACTAGAACAAAGCCATGTGCTAGATTTAAGGTCTATTTTGGTCTGTTAGAAGAAACTGTATCCCAAAATGTTAAAGAAAGAAAAACTTATATGTATACAAAAAATATGGTTAAATACAATAAAGGAATAAAATATGACTATAACAATGAAAATTTTAAAAGATTTTAAAACAGTGTTGATATGATAGAATAGTTTAAAAAACATTAAAATAAGAAAGAGGAAAAATTTTTAAAAATAGAATAAGAAAAAAAATAAAATTTAAAATATTTAACTTTGAAAGGCTAAGGAATCATGGGGGAAAAGCCATGAATTCTATGTACTATATTCCCGTAGCTCTGAAGTGTTGCACTTCTCATTGATTGGTGAACTTGGTCTTGGCTGGATATTCTTGCTGATCTCCTCGGGGAGGGGCCTGTTGTGATTCTCAAATGTCTTTGCCTGAGGCAGAGTTGCACCACCCTTGCCAGGCACCAAGCTAAGTCATCTGCTAGGGTTCACTCTCAGTAGCTTTTGTTCCCTGAATGCTTTCCGTAGAGGTTTGGAGGAAGGGAATGAAAATGGCAGCCTCCCAATCTCCAGCCCAGAGGAGCTGAGATCTCAGGGCACCACTCCTCAGTGCACCCTCAGAGAAAAGCAGTCAAACTCTCCTATTTCCCTGGTCTCCAGCAGCACTCCATGCTCACCTGGCCTGTGACCGAGCATTTCTATCTCTGGCACATTGCCCCATTTGGAGTCTCCAAACCCAGCAGACTCCTGCCACAGGCTCCTTCGCCACTCCTTCCAGACGTGGAAGGAGAAGATCTGCCACTTGTGGCGTTCCAGCTCAAAGATTAGTGGCCGGATTTTGCCTTAGATCATGGTTTAAGGTAACCTGAAGCTGAGAGCCCCCACTCCGGCTCTGTCTCTGTAGCCGGCTTCCCCTCTCTGATACCTGGCAGCTCTGCTACACTCAGATACCCCTGGTCTTTTTCAGAACCCACAGGTCCTGAGACCACACTGTGCCCATGAGGGTCCCACCCCTTGCTTAGCCTCTGGAGCAACATTCCTCAGTGGAGTATACTTCTGAAAGTTCTGATTTTGTGCTCTGCTGCTCTACTGCTTGCCGGGAGCCAGCCCCTGCCCCCGCGGTCTGCCTTCCTATATGTCACCTCTGATTCACTTCTCTGCAAGTCCTGCCTTCCAGAAAGTGGTTGATTTCTGTTCCTAGAATTGCTGCTCTTCTTCTCTTTGATCTCTTGTTGAGTTTGTGGGTGTTCAGAATGGTTTCATAACTATCTAGCTGAACTCCTGGGACCCAGTGATATTCCACCATCTTGCTCCTCCCTCTGAGAATCATTATCCTAACCTGTATTTTCACTTGTGTATGCCTATATACGTTCTGTGAGCTCTGCCTCAAATGTAGCTGAATAGCAACCAAATGAACCACTTCCATACTAGTAAAACCCTTGTTGGCATCATAGGGCACATTGCAGAGGAGGGGGAATGTGTTAGATTATAAGAGCTGGTCAAAATGGGTGAAGTGTTGGAGGAGATCATCATGAGGACATGACCACCAGCTGGCAGGAGAATGGGACCTGGGCAATCAGAGGCTCCTCACTCCTCCTGTGTCCTTGGAACATATATTCCCACACTAGGAATTATTTAAAACAACAGCCTTGAGAGAATAAGGTATTGTTGAGACTATTAGATTGCATATGTGACTGAACCCAATTAAGGTCTCTATATAAACTTTTGAGATTCTGGCTGGCCTGTGCAAGGATCTACATGTCTTGGGGTGCCCAACACAAGCTTCATATGTAAGTTCTCTTGCTTATTACACCTGTCAACCACTATACTGGAGTGGCCTGTCTCTTTCCTTTTTCAGGGCCCTGTTTGTGAACCAATAAATAACAAGAGAGAGTTTGGATATTTGGAGTTTACACAAGAAAATCTTCATGTTTAATGTCAAAAATTGTTTTGAAATGATCTATTTTAACCCAAAAGTGATATTTATAAATTGGTATTATCTGAATCAGTATAAGAGATTTCCATTACTGCTCAGTATTTATTATTGCAAATGCAAGTTTGAGACAAAACATGAGTTTTGCATTTTAAAGCTATTTGATTATTTAAAATGTCTGATTCCCAGCTGAATTTTGGTAAAATTTCGAATTATGAAATCGATTATCAATTAGAAAAAGTGTATGACATTTTTTAATGTTTCCTATTTATTATAAACCCAAATGTCTTTCCAAATTTTTTTCCCATTTTCTTCTATTTTTATTATATTCTTTTCTGTTAATTTTTCCATAACTTTTCTTTCTTGTCATCCTCCTTTAAAAATTTATTCTTATTATCCTCAATATTTTATATAAACTCATCATCATCCTTGTATGTTTATTCCTCAGTTATTTTCATTTTCCTGAAATCACTACTCTTATAACAAATTCCTTTAAATATCTAGGTAATAGTCACCTGATTTGGCAAGTCTTTCTTCTGATTTTAAGTATTTTTTTTATGTCAAACTCCATTTTCATCCTTTCAAACAAGTGGATCCTTTATAATCTACAAAGATGGACTGAGATATATAATAGTCATACTATTTCAAACTAAGAAATAAGACATTTTATTTGTCTTGGAAAGCCTCTTGGAATAAAATTTCTGCACTCACATTATTTTTTTGTTTTATCTACTTTGAAACTTTAAATTTACCCTTCATTCTGGAGATGTATTATTTACTTCAAAAAGTAAACCAAGGAAAAAAATGGTATGTGGATATGAAAACATTTATTTTATATTATGTTGAGTATTAAGATTGTGAAAATAAATTTTATTCAAAATATTTGTTTCTTATTACCAAGAATAAACACCAAAAATGTAATCTCAGCAATGCACACAAATGTAATTTTCAAGTTGACATTGGAACATACTGGGTTTTACCAAAGCATAAAACATATGTTGTGACTATACTTGTTGAGTAGTTGCTAACTTCAACTGCAAGTGTAACCATGTACCATACTTTGACAGAAATCTAGATAGGAGACAGTATTAATAGTTGTTAAGATCACAATTTTGGTCTTAACTGTTCCAAGTTCTGACTTTGCCACTGTGGTTTAATTCAAATTATTTCTGTTCTCTGGGCCTAACTTTAATTGGCAGAAAAATGGAGCTAGTCAACCATAGACTACCATAAAGATTAAACAATCTTTTATATGCAGAGTATTTAACATGGTGCCTGGCTCATAGTGAGCATTCAGTGAATGGTTGCTTAATATTATTATCAGGCCATTCAAATATACTTGATCAAAATGAGTGAAACTGCAAATCACAAACAAAATTAATTCCATTTAATACCATTACTAGTATTATGCTCAGAGGAGGTGATACAGTGAGTTATTAATGTCTCTGGATGAAGCAAAATAGGAAATTGTAGGGGTTGTGAGTGACCCATGCTCTTATTTTAAAATCTATATATTAATCTTGTCACTGGCAAGAGCTTTCTTTTCAGTATACTTAGAAGAATCATTATTCAACAAATATTCTTTGATTGCCTATTATGCGCTCGGCTGTGTTTACCTACCATGCAAAAGGAAATACCGCCTTTTTATGCTCTGAATACTTTCCTTTTCCACAGACATTTCCACTGGGCCTGGGAGATGGGCAATTCTATTCATGGACAGATGGTTTGAGAAGAAAGGACTGGCATGACTATGAAAGCATTCAGAAAGAGGCTATGCGCTCAGGTATGAAGTCAAGTGTAAGCCAAAGTGCTATTTTACTTACTGCAGTATCTCATTTGTCACTTACAGGATCTCTAATTAGCATTTCTTCTATGTCTTTTGGGGATATTGGAGTCAATGTTGGAGAGAATTTAAACAATTTCAAATTTCAGAGAGATAACAAATAATGAATAGCTTTTACAATATTAGCTTAAGAAGAGGACATATAAGTTTTAGAAATCTATAATATTTCATATTTCTGAGCTGCCTTTTAATAATCTCTGGGAATATATTGAGATTTATAAGTGAGACTTGCCTTGGTAGACACCTGTGTTGAGCTTGATTCATTTGTTAGGGCTAAGGTATATCTAACTGACAATGCACAGTATTCAAGGGATACCACAATTCTAGGCATTGGGGAGGCTACAGCAATTTGGTGGATCACAGGATCTGGGGACCTGAGGTTGACAGTACTTGAGCAAACAGGCAGGGATTTGAAAAGAATCAAGTAGGTCTATATATATGGAGCAGAATTCTAGTCTTGGGCTAGAGAAAACATTTTATTTCTTGGAAAAAATAACAGGAAAAATTAAGTCTTTTTCGAAAGACTGTAAAATTAAGTTGTTGGTAACAGGGATTCAGAAAGGTGTATAATTAGACATCAAATGAACATGAGTAACATATGGTAAGAAGTCCTTATGCTTTTACTCAACCGGAGGAGCTCTGGGTTTTTGTGTTTTGTTTTTGTTTTTTTCCCCATAGTGAAGCTGCCATAGAAATAGAGAACTTCTTGTTTGGTAAAGAAATCTGAAAAGCACTCAGACACTGCATTCTAAGTCAAATCAGCAGCAAAACTGTGACTAACATCCTTTCACACAATCCATCTAGAGTGGTGTGTATGCATGTGTGCATGTGCACATATGCCCATGTGTTTTATGAAATCATTTTTATGTTTATGTTTATTTTATTTTATTAACATATAATGTATTATTAGCCCCAGGGGTACAGGTCTGTGAATCGCCAGGTTTACACACTTCACAGCACTCACCATAACATATACCCTCCCCAATGTCTATAACCCAACCACCCTTCCCCTGTCAACCCTCAGTTTGTTTTGTGAGATTAAGAGTCTCTTATGGTTTGTCTCCCTCCCAATCCCGTGTTGTTTCATTTATTCTTTTCCTACCCCTCAAAGCCCCCATGTTACCTCTCAACTTCCTCATATCAGGGAGATCATAAGACAGTTGTCTTTCTCCTATTGACTTATTTCACTAAGCATAATACCCTCTAGTTCCATCCACGTCATCGCAAAAGGCAAGATTTCATTTCTTTTGATGGCTGCATAGTTTTCCATTGTATATATACACCACTTCTTCTTTATCCATTCATCTGTTGATGGACAGCTAGGTTCTTTCCATAGTTTGGCTATTGTGGACATTGCTGCTATATACATTCGGGTGCATGTGCCCCTTCGGATCACTACATTTGTATCTTTAGGGTAAATACCCAGTAGTACAATTGCTGAGTCATAGGGTAGCTCTATTTTTAGTTTTGAAATTTGAAAATTGTCCTGTCCAGGCTTCTTTGTGTCTTAACTCTAAAGATTTTCACTGTGTTTATCACTGGTTTTTGGATTTCATTATGTGTGAACTCAACATGAAAAAAGCTCTTCTTAACTCTTGTATTTGATCTATTTCTTTGAAACAGATTATCCTCTTGTATAATCATATCAACTTATGCATTTTACTATAAGCCCCAGGAATCTTATGAAATTGTATCTAACTTTTCACTACTTCTATTTGTCTTAGCTAATGATAGTTTTGAATACTCAAAGTTTTCATTAAGTCTTATCATTTTATTCATGTATTCATTCACTTGTCCAAAAAATGCTTTTTAGTGTCACTATATTTCAAATATTGCTCCAAACTCCAGAGGAAAAATATAGACAAAAATGAATTACATGGCTCTTGAAAAGTGTGCTGCGTGGTTGAAGGAGATTTCACTGTTATCAATGTCAAACCTTTGATCTCTCTTACCTAAATTATTTCAGTAGCCTACCAACTGTTCTCCTTGTCCCATAGCTCTTCAATTAGCAACTAGAGGAATCTTCTAAAAATATATAATGTGATGAGATCATTTGACTCATCTGCACAAAAGCCTACAAATTCTGGCCATCATAATCAAAATTAAATCCAAATCAATTCCCTGATTATGAGGTCCAACATGATCCGTCCCTACTTATGTCACTTTCCTGGTCTCCTACTGATTGACACTTAGTCTCTCCACTGGTTACATTGTTTATCCTCAAGCATGCTAAACAAGTTGCAGGACTTTTCACTTGCTATTCCTGCTGCCTGGAACTTTGGTAATTTGTATCTTCCAAACCAGTTTCTACTTCAGAAGGTCACAAGACTATGTATCACCTGTAAAGACATTTTGCCAGTCACCATATTATCATATATAGGTATAGTCTTTTTCATTCACTTTCTATCCCTTTGCTCTAATTAATTTTTATAGCAATTATCTATCTATTTAATGAATTAAAAAATATAATTCCTCGTAATACAATCACTTGCCCAAGGGCTCTAAATCACAACATTATCTTTAATCATTGGATCAGGCTTTTTGAATAATGACACTCCTGTATAAGTAAGTTTTATGAAGGCACCTATGTGGCTCAGTTGGTTAAACTCTGACTCTTGATTTCAGCTCAGGTCATGATCTCAGGGTTCTGAGATCAATTCTCCTGTCAGCTCCATGCTGAGTGTAGAGCCTGCTTAAGATTCTCTCTCTCCCTCTCCCTTTGACCTTTACCCCCCACGTTTGATAAAAAAGAAAAGGAGGAAGGAAGGAAGGAAGGAAGGAGGGAAGGAAAAAGTATTGTGAAAACCTGACACAACATGGTTTTTACTTTTCCCTCCTGGAGATTAGATCCTAGGATCCCTTAAACCTTATGATCTAAGTTACCAAATGTTCATACCTAATCGTTGTGAATTTCCATTGCAAAACATCTAAAGAATATGAATTAAAACACTATTTGAGATGGAGGAATGCACCATACTTTAAAATGATTAACAGTAGGCTTTCCTACGTTCCTTTAAACAACAGCTCACTTTAGTGCTGATCAGGGACCCATTTTGTTCTTAAATGTCTTTATTCTACATAATTGAACAATATTACTAACCAAACAGAATGGGAAGCAGAAATGTGCTTCATCGCTTTCTGTATTTTCGCTTAATAAACTTCTATTACTTAAAAACACACACACACACACACACACACACACACAAAACACCAAATGTGCTTCATCTGGGAGATACAGTAACTACTTTGCATTGAGGAAGTAAAACAGTGGTAATTTTGCTATAACTACAATGTCTCTTAAAAACAATATATGGTATCTTTTTTTTTTATCACTAGCAACAAAGAGCATTGTTATTGTTAATGATTTCAGAATAATTTACACATCTATGACGTGTTCTCAGTAAATTTTGCAATGAGATTTGTTGAGAGGTGGTCAACATTGGGAATTATTACCAAAATAACATTCATTATTATTCATTAGGTTAAAATTAACTTTTAATGAAATATTTCCTTTGACAGTCATTGTATAACAATGAAAATGTAAAATGGAAGTGAAAAGATTATGAGCATTCTGTTAAGATGTATCATTTATATGTCTAATAATAGAACAAAATTTAGCTGAATTGGATTGAGTGACATTAGGGAAAAACCTCTTCAACATTATAATGTGAAAGTAGCAGTAGAAATATCTCAGGAGATTCATTAAACTGCAATGAGTTTGTATTTTAAAAAAGACAAAATTAATTTTTAAAATAGTGCAATTTACTTTTATTTTTTTTGCATAACTCCAAATATCTCTATTTAGAAATATCAACTTCCCATGGGCAAATGTGCATAAAATTAATTGGTATTATTTTTCACATTAGTAAAATGTGGTTTAATGATGCCACCTGTGACACAGTTATTTTAAGTATTAATTAAATTATATAATTAAACTGGACTGTAGTTATCCTCAATTAATGGCTATTTGTATATTTATAGATCCCTGATTACTATGCCTATGTGATTATATTTGAATCACTTATAATTTGAATATTTTTTCTTGTGGCTTCAAATCTAGCCAATTGACACAAAATCTCCCAATAATTGTCATGAGAGGGTTCATATTAACACATACTTCAAGTGGAGCTATCTCTCTTCACTTTAGGTTTCATTCTTTTTTTTTTTTTTAAGAATTTTATTTATTTATTTGACAGACAGAGATCACAAGTAGGCAGAGAGATGGCAGAGAGAGGAAGGAAGCAAGTTCCCTGCTAAGCAGAGAGCCCGATATGGGGCTTGATCCCAGGACCCTGGGATCATGACCTGAGCCGAAGGCAGAGGCTTAACCCACTGAGCCACCCAGGCGCCCCTTAGGTTTCATTCTTAAAAGGCAAACGTTTTGTAAGCACCTGTCCCAAACTTGTATCCAACCTGGTATTGTGCTTATGTTTTGTAAAAAATCTATTTTATATGTAGCTGTGATTATTATCAATTTTTTTCTGGCTATAAATGCCCCACATTTTGGAGGAGCTATATGAGTAGATTATAATCCTTGGTCATGAAGTAATGTGAAAATGTTCTGCTGAAGTGAGATGATGTCTGATAAGAGCCAAGAAGGAAAAGATGAGAAACATCTAATGAAAGAAAGGATTTGAATCTAAATGGATCACGTAAACTAAGGTTAAATTGATTTTATGCCTGCCGTTCATTTTCCTGAAGTCTTGCACTCAATTTTGTTCTTCCCAGTTTTAACCCTTTCCTGTACAGCTTTGACATAAATAAGTGTAAGTTTGTATTTTCTATCAGCTTGTCACACAGAAAACTCTTAACACCCACTAATACTTATATCTCAACTCTAATGGTAATCTATTTCTCAACTCTAATGGTAAATCTTAAAACTCCATGAAGTTATATTTGCTGTTTTTGCTGTGGCTTTAATTTTAGTGGGACTTAGAACC